GACTTTCTTACTCAAAACAATCTCATGGACAACAAGCAATCCGGCTTTAAGAAAGGCCACTCAACTGAGACTGCCCTGCTCTCGTCGTGGAGGATCTCAGACTGGCTAAAGCAGACTCAAAATCATCAGTCCTCATCTTGCTGGATTTGTCAGCTGCTTTTGACACTGTAAACCACCAGGTCCTACTATCTACGCTTGAGTCACTGGGCGTTGCAGGCACGGTTATACAATGGTTTAGATCTTACCTTTCTGACAGGTCATTCAGGGTGTCTTGGAGGGGAGAGGTGTCCAACCTACAGCATCTAAACACTGCGGTACCTCAAGGCTCTGTTCTTGGCCCACTTCTCTTCTCCATCTATACGTCATCTCTAGGACCAGTCATCCAGAAACATGGATTCTCCTACCACTGCTATGTTGATGATACCCAGCTATACCTCTCTTTTCATCCTGATGAACCCTCGGTTCCAGCTCGCATCTCAGCCTGCCTGTTGGACATTTCACACTGGATGAAAAATCATCATCTTCAGCTTAACCTTGCAAAAACAGAAATGCTTGTAGTTTCTGCCAACCCGACTATACACCATAACTTTTCAATCCAGATGGATGGGGCAACCATTACTGCATCCAAAATGGTAAAAAGCCTTGGAGTAACGATTGATGACCAACTAAACTTCTCTGACCACATTTCTAGAACTGCTCGATTCGCACTCTGTAACATCAGAAAGATCCGACACTTCTTATCTGAACATGCAGCTCAACTCCTTCTTGTTCTCCCCAAACTGGATTACTGCAACTCTCTACTAGCCGGGCTTCCAGCTAACTCTATCAAGCCTCTTCAGCTGCTCCAGAACACAGCAGCACGAGTGGTCTTCAATGAACCTAAAAGAGCACATGTCACTCCGCTGCTCATCCTTTTGTACTGGCTGCCAGTTGCTGCTCGCATCAAATTCAAAGCTCTGATGTTTGCCTACAAGGCGACTTCTGGCTTTGCTCCGTATCTGCTCTCACTTCTGCAGATCTATGTGCCCTCCAGAAACCTGCGTTCTGTGAATGAACGTCGCCTCGTGGTTCCATCCCAAAGAGGGAAGAAATAACTTTCGCGAACGCTCACGTTCAATCTGCCCAGTTGGTGGAATGAACTCCCTAACTGCATCAGAACGGCAGAGTCACTCGCTGTTTTCAAGAAACGACTAAACTCAACTATTTAGTTTCCACTTCACTTCCTAATCTGCAATTGCCTCTCTGGATATACCACTAACTGTACTCAAAAAAAAAAAAAAAAAGAAATTGAAAAAATTAAAATTTTACTGATACTTTCCTTCTTAGACTTTACAGACCTAAAACTTGCCTATAGCACTTATTCATTGTTACTCTTATAGCTGTGTAAATTGCTTCCTTGTCCTCATTTGTAAGTCGCTTCGGATAAAAGCGTCTGCTAAATGACTAAATGTACATGTAAAATGGGACTTGTGCCTAAATCCAGAAGATCTTTGCCAACATCTCCAAGACATTCGGAGGTACACAAGGTACTCGCCTGCAAAGATACATTATTCTAAAAAGATTTAGGCACTTGTGTAAAATGCTGTAAGTATTCTTCAAAAAAATGCCATGTGTAGTATTTAATTATCAATTAATATTAAATCAACATACTGTATGGCAGAGCTACCCTTTGCTTTTTAAAACTGCTTTTATCCTATACAGGTACATGTACACGTGTACATATTTTTTTTTTTTTTTTTTTTTTTTTTTAAGTAGCTTTGCAACACCAAAAATAATGATTGCATTTTCACAGTTAATTTGCAATAAATTAGAAAATGCTAATAAAATGATTTCATAGTTAAACTGTTGTTATAAATTAATCTTGATTGTAGAAGACAACTTCAAAAGTATAAATGGATTAACAAATAAATGTAGTAATTAAAGTGATAGTTTGTTGCTTTATGCTTACAGTGTGTACTACATTGTGATGTGTGGCACCATGGTTTAAACGTGTGATTAACGTTATCTTTCCCGTGTAAAAAAAAAAAAAAAAAAAAGAGAAGTTTTTATCCTAACTATCTGCGACGAGAATGCTCTAAATTTCAATTTTAGAAACTTTTTTTTTTTTTTTTTTTTTTTTTTAGAAACTATTTTAGAAACTTTTTTTTTCATATGGTCACTACAGAACTTCTCATAACTTCAGAAAACTACAGAACTTCCCATTCCCATGTAGCTAAACTAAAATGACAATGATCACCTCAGGTAATGATTAATCGCGTCATTCAGTGTTAAATGCTATTTATTGCCAAACTACAGGATGGAGCAGTAGATAGATAGTTTAACTCAGATCTTAAAAATTAAATTAACTAGAAAATGGTTTGAAAAAAAATGTATGTGTGACTCGTTGCAAACCAACATCAGTCACTCAGTAAACCACATACATTTAATAATATTAAAGAGGTTTAATATGTATTCATTTTATTATCACTCTCACGATTTGAAGTGCAGTAAATCGTATTTAAATGTTTCCGTCATTGCATTTGGTGCTGCCAAATTGCTTGCCGTTGGAATATTTTGGCATTGCATGAAGTTAGGAAACATGATATTGGCCTCAATGAGAGCCTGCAAGTATTCTGATGCTGTCAATCAAGTTCATGTAAACCAAAACTTCAACATTTTTCCAGACTCCTGTTGTTTTTGTCTCAGTCCACTGTATAAAGAATTTAAGTATAACATGCCCCAGTTCACTGCACCTACTAGTTAAAATAGCAACACAAATAAATATTGTATATAACAGGGAATAAGCCAAAGAAAAGTGAATAATTGTATAAGAAATTTTAATTTCATTTATTCTACAGCACATTTTTTTTAAAATTGAAACCCAATCACGAAAAGAGACCACAACAACAGTAAATGAGTCAACATTTTTTTTTTAATCATTGTCATAGAATACTTTTTACATTTTCACAAGCTAAGGAGAAATGTGACAGATTATGGGGGAAGTCTTTGATTTTGCTTTGTAAAAGCTCTGGAGCAATAAGATGCGAATGTAGAGAAATATAGCTTTTACAATGTGGGTTTCTTACTGTCCTGCACCCATCTGAAACACACAGACACTGTGTTGTGTTCTAAGCCCAAAACACTTGACCATCACAGAATGGCTGTGCAGAATCCACAATATACTGCGTCCTATAACCTTTATTGCATTTCCATCACTCATGCTTGTTTATTTTCTTTTTAAATGTTCATACTTTTAAAGTTCCTTTTCTGCTTTTCGGCAAAAAAGACAATGTTACAATAAATAAACCCATAATGCAAAAAGATACAAAAATATGAGATTTCTTTTCCTTGCTTTTTTGGATTACCATAAAACAGTAACATAGTACTATAGCAAATAAATGGCTGTTGTACATTTCCTTCATATGGGATATTACAGGACAGCAATTATTACAGATGCAAGTCTTCAGTGTGTACTGTAATCTCTAAACAAAAATATATACTGTTTATATACTGTATATAGTTACTGAAAGCAATAAATCCTCATCCAATATGATAATACATACATTGTACAACCAGATCCCAATTCAAATATAGCAGGCTCTATCGACATAGTTCATGTAGAATTGTGTATATATTTTTGTTGCTTTATGTAGCACTTAAAATGTCCTGTAAATAACATGAAGTACAACAATACATTATCATCTTTTTTTCTTGTTCAAAATGCCACATGAGCTAAAGCAGTATGTCATAGACTCTTTTAACATGTACCGCTGAGGTGGTTAAACTGCACATGCCTCATACTGACATATAAGACTTCTGGGTATTTAAAAAAAATGAAATAAAAGAATTCTCACTGATTCAAAGTATTTGTGATGCAGGATCACTTATATTTACTCTTCCAGTAACTTCTGTATTGACATACAGTACAGCAAAAGAACTGGCTGCATGATTAGTTTGGGGTGAAGTATGAAAATCCCTGTCAAAGCAACATCAGAAAGGCAATATACACTCAATACATATGCATATACTGGTTAATTTAGCCTGGTGAGAGATTATGTGCAATTTACAGATACTTGTATATGAAAGTGTTACTTGAATTAACATCTGCTTACAAGACAAATGCTGCTTTCTGGCTTCATTCCATGTTTTCTATGCAAACTGTTGTATGAGTTTGAAAATCCCAATATCATTGACATACCCTGTCATTCAACCCTTAAATTCATCCATATGTTCACACACACAGCATTGCACATTCACACATGCAACCACACCATGAAAAACAAGAGCACAATTGTCCGACTGTCTTTTCTGACAAGCTGTCGGTCATCCAGTTATGCTGGAAACTCTTCCTTCGTAAACTCTCCTTTAATACCTTTTCACTCTTTCTCCGACTAAATGTTTTGAAAACATTTTGTTGATATGTTTGACCTACAGATGGGCCAATGAAGCTATATAGAAAATAAAAAAAAACTACACAAGAGAAGCACAATCAGTGAGAATCCATTTTTCACCAAAACATGAACCAAAACAAAGCAAAAAAAGATCACAGAAGACAGTCTGTCAAAATGAAATCTTGTTCTACAATGTCTTAGGCTCACTTTTGCTGTGTTTTTGTGTACCACTGGCAACACACTGTATTGTCGAGTACAAATACGCACAGATAAGAATAATCTCTACTGCTGTGACAGAAGTCCTCATGGTTTCAGGCTCTCAAAACACCAGCGGTTGTGTAGACGGCACAACATCACATGGGAATGCCAAGCCTCTCTCGCATTTTATTCACGTTCCATCCTCCGATGCAAAATCAGGACGGAAGAGACAGAAACTCGAGTACACAAGAACACTTTGCTTTGTTGCATCAACAACATCAAGGAAATCTCTTAAAAAAAACAGAACATTGAGAGTGAGGAAGAGAAGGACTAACAGAGAGAAGTAGAGAGAGTACTGAGTACAACAGATTGACCAGGAACAGCGATTGACTTTGTACAAACTGTCTGTCCATGTTTTATGTTCTTAGGTGGCTACAACATCACTGGGGTGAAGATGCAATGTAAGGAGGTAGCCAGTAGGAGCAGCTGAGAGCTAAGGCCTGATAGAGTCATCTGCCGAGGGGATGAGTTTTTGGAGATGGTATTGGAGGAGCTGGGGTCATCAATCTGTGGATCCTGGAGAAATGGAAAGAGGTGAGAAAGTGGATAAGCATCTCATTTCCGATTGCACTTTCAAAATATTTATGCCATTTTGAAAGCAGCTGTGGCATGTGGAAGGTGACATTTGATTTGTGTGATTTTTTACATTTCCAGAGCTTGGGAAAATAAAACGTATACATTGATTTAAAAAAAAAAAAGAAGGAATTATGTTAAATAAATAATGTAGAAATAAATTAAAGTATATTTATACTGTTTGTATATGCAACATTTCTGCTGTGTTTTGAGTATATTTTGTAAAAGTAATAAAAAAAAAAAAACTTCTGTTTAATAATAGACAACAAATACATGAACATATTGTATATGTTATTGTATGGCCATAAATCTCATTTATATATTAGATTTTATGTAATTGTGAGTCTTTTTTATTTTTTTTTACAGATGTAGGAAAAAATGTGCATATTTTGAATAACATTTGTAAAAAAAAGAAAAAAAGAAAAAAATAAATAAAGGAAATGTCTTACCTTCATTAGGTATGAAGGGAAAGACAAGGCAAGCAAACAATTGCTTATTACAACTACAAACTTGTATAACTCTTATTTATTAAAAACAAATCATAAATAAAGAAATCCATGAAAATATAAAAATCTTTATTGTGGGAAATAATTGTATAAACTGGTATGATGTTTGTATATATAAAAGCACAGTTTGCAGATTTAATCTATGCTGTTACTTCACCCCCTTAATGATCGTCATTATGAAAGTTTTATGTTATTTAAATAGCGTGGTTCAAGCAATGCATAGACAGAATTTGGGGAAAAACTTGTTGGTACATTTGCTATGTTTATTTCTTGAATGATGCATTATATTTTGGGTTTTCAGTTTCTGGTTTAGCTGTTGTTTGGGCACTGCAACCCTAAATGATTGATTGGAGTTTGTCCTCATGTACACTGATAAAGGTTCATTTGAAAACTAGTACTTTTTTATTTTATTTTTAAAAGATTTGTGTGTGTTGAGCCTCAGTTAAGACAACGTTAGCACCTCTCAGCTGTAATTGTGGGAAAAACTGCATCATTTTGAGCTTTTGTCAGCTAATTTAATCTTCCAAGTTTAAAAGCCTTTTTGGGACAAAATCAAAATCGGTGACGTAGCGCAAATCTGCTAGTGAAGTGCTGACGCGTTGGTTTTTCATTTCATAGCGGAGTTTTCTTATCCTATGAGAAGACCCTGCTTCTTAATTATTCATGAGAGCATGTGCTTTCCGAAGATCAGGCAGACCTGCCAAGCTGTGAGACCCAATGACTGTTTGAGACCATGTCCGCGCATGGCAAGCAGTGTTTAGCCGTTCATAAAGGGTTTGTTGCATGTTTTTCCTCGTGATGCAGTCACAGCCGACACCGCAAAGCTGTTGGTTTGCTGAAAGCATTTTTGTCAGGAGAGCTGTACAAGAATTAAAGGATGGCAGACTTTCTTTTATCAGTTGAGTTTGTTACCATTCAGACACATGGCTTATATTAGTGCTGCTGTGTGGGGATTTAGGAGGAGAGAAGTCGTCCTCATTTATAGTTCACATGATTATCTTTATAATGATTTTAAAAATTGTGGTTGTGTATATGAAATTATGAATAACAAATATAGCAGGTCATTAAACTACTGTTTATTACTTTGCATTTTAACTTTGTAAACTATAAAAACATGTGTCTCCTCGTGGCTTGTGTGTCATTTGAAATGACAACAGTTATTTGCTCCTCTCTTTCTCCCCCTGCTCTGCCAGCCACGCCCATACCTCCCTCTGCTTGCAGCGTTCCATGCCCATTATGAAACTTTTAAAAAAAGATTCTGATGTAGACTTGTATGTAGAAAGGGGTTTCATGGCCCTTTAAACAAACAAATTACAAATTGCTTTGCTTTTGAAAATTACAAAATTATATTTATTTGCTTAAATTCAGTCCATGTAATTTGTTTACAACCGCTTGCCTTCAAAAATTAAATAAATCCAATTAATCATTTTTTATTGCTTGTGAAAATAGCTCATGGTTAAACATTTTTATAGGGGTGCCATCAGCTGTGGCACACATTCAACAAAGGCATGTTTTTTTTTATATATAATACTTTAAAAAAAACTTTTTTAATATAGAATTTTTTTAGATTCTAGATTTTATTAATTCTTTATTAGGTAATTAAATTTTCAATCCAAACATTACATAATTAAGATATTTTCCAATAGCCTTTTTTTGCTCCCATTTACCAAGGGTGCCAATAATTACCAACAATTTAGTGAAGGACACTGCATGTTTACCAGTAAAGAGTTTGGCAGACAAGTCAGAGTTTGGTTTGATTTGTCAAAAGTTAACCTTTTTCCATTACATTTTAACTTGAGCTTTTGTAACCAGAATAATTTGCACATGTGCTTCAAGGCTTTTGCTTTGTTTTTTTTGTTTTCCTTTTTCAAGAAAAAAAAAAAGGACTTTCATGTCTGCTAATGTCCTGAAATGCTATGAAATTATCTTTTTAACTGTCAAATACATTTCCAATTCATTCAAATAATTAAATGCCATTATTTCCGAGTTACACATAACATGGCTTTAGATGGTTGTGATTTCAAAAAACAAGGCTCTTTGGAAATTATTCGCTTTAAAGAGGTTCTCGTTTTTAGAGCTGTTTGGATCTGCCTCTGCAACCCTAAATGTCATTCTCGCATATAATGCAGCTTTTATTATGTATAATGACATTTAGTGAACTTCAAAAAGCAGAAGATAAGCAACATTCACATTTCGCTGTTGCCCACTGCAAAGATCATGTGCAGACAGGGCAAGAAGGGCCCTCAAGTTTCAGGTCAAAGTTCAGCCGAAAGGGGCCATGTGATGAGAGATAATAATTGCTTTTCTTTGTTTTCTTTTATTATGATTCATACCTTTACAAACAATTGAAATATATAAGAGATATCAGAAATCTATCTGGTTTGAAATGTGATGTAAATATTGTCCTGGCATTACAATTAGTATTGTATTTTAGTGTACTTACCACACATAACACATCTATTGTGTTGTTTGTCTTCTTCTTCTGAGCCTAGAAAAGAAAAAGATCTATTAAATTAGTCAGATCTAAATGAAGTAATAGCCTCTCGAACCAAGAAAACTGTTAACAAACATCATTTTCTTTCATGGTATATTGCTGCAGGAGGATCCACACTACATAATCAATAGCAAAACACTCTGACTGCTATTTATACTGTAGCTGCAATCTAATAGCATTTAATTGCATTGGATTAATATTGTGCTTCATAAATGCTACTGACAATGTGAAAATCAATTGTGATTTGTCTTCACATAGTGTTTGAGTATAATTATAGAGGAGTAAATGCAAAGTCAAGTTGTTATTAATATTAATCATAGCAGTAGGCTACTGCAAAATTCTCATTTTGAGAACTGAATTTACTGTAGTGCTCATGAAAGATTTGTAATTATTAGTGTTCCAGTGTTTGATTAGTAAATGAAAATTGTTTTTCACCAAATATAATGCTTTTCCATTTTTCTCATTACTTGTGAATATACGTAGTAAACAAATTCTACTCTGCTTTCTCCTGGACCGCTATATGTTTTCTGTATACATATTTATGGTTACAATGACTTTTTTAAAAATATATATAAAATTAAATTACAATGCTATACTAATATATAGTTTATTGGTGAATAATTATTGGATAAATATATTTTTATATATTTCTCATGAATGATCACAAATTTTTTTATTTTTTCCCCCAGTAACACTTTTTAAGGGTGTGTTTATAAGACTGTCATCATATGCCATTAGCTCAGTTATGTCATTTTAAATGCAAAGATGACATTGTTGAAGATGTCTTTTACCAAGAGAACAAATTCTGTCAGTGTTTTTTTGTCATGAAAACTTGATAGTATCAAAACAACAAAACTTATCATACATTCATCTTCAACATAATTTGACAGCAGCATTAATTTTTATTGACCTCAACTGTAGCTGAACCAACTGAATTTGTCATTAATTTCATGAAATTTAACCTAATATTATTGACTGTGTAATGAAATTAACCGACAACTGAAAACAGTTAAAGGATACTGGATATTAACTAGGAGTTTTTTTTTTTTTTTTTTTTCTGCATATTTGCAAGTTTTATGTATTTGTTTATAACAACTTATCCTAACAAAGACATCTAAAAATCTTATTCATATTCATGAAAGATCTCTGGGTAGTGTGAACTCGTGTTACAAAATATGTAATAAGATATACAAAATATCAGAGAAACCCTCTCCTTGGTCATTGAGATTAAAGGCCAGTTTTATGGCTGTTTTTCTTTTTCACCATAATAATAATAATAATAATAATAATAATAATTGTTGTTGTTGTTGTTATTATTTTAAATAAATAAAATATTTTATTTATTTATTTGCTGTTAATGCACCATATCTTGCACTTCAGGAACATTTTTACTTCAATGTAATTAAAACAACACTTGATGTGTGTAGAGAACAATTATGCAGCTATTTTTGTTCTTATTGCACATGTGTCATGTCAGGATTATAAGTCTGTCATGACAGTCTTATGAACACTCCAAGTAAAGTGTGTACTCTCAGTTTGCCTTCTCTAGCACAGGCTTTAGTAACTATTGCTGTCAAAGTACTTTGACTGTTGGTCAAAGCAGTAAATGAAGACTATCCGAGTTGTCTTATGGTAAGCATGTAGTAAGTTTTAGTATGGATTTCACATCCTTAAGTGTGTGTGCTTGTTGTATAGGTATGTGTGTCTGAGAAAGTGTGAAGCAGTGGTGATATAGGAGACCTGGTGACAAGTATAATGAATGGATTCCTGTGTGTTAGAGGTTTGGTGTCCTCATGAAACTAGCCGACTTGAATCTAAGCCAGAACCCAGCATGATAAAGCAGTGCCTTGGCCAGCATGAAACATTATAAACAACCGCATCTACACACCAGCGAAAAGAAATATCAATGATTAATTTCTCCCAGAGCGGCCCTAGCACCCTTTAAACAGTTTCAAAATTGAAGAAATAAACCAGTAAAACAACAAGTGCAAGAAAAACTAGCTGGATAATTGTTCTCGCTGCATGTCAAGTGCTGTTTTAATTACATTGAAGGAAAAATGCAAAGTGCAAGATATGGCAAACTAATAGCAAAAAAAAAAAAAAAAAAAAAAGGGAAAAAGAAACGGTCATAAAACTGGCCCTTAATCTCACTGACAGCATACTAAGCAGAGAGTTTCTCATATTTTGTATATTTTATTATATATTTTGAACATGAGTTCACACTGAGCCCAGAGATCTGTCTAGTATGGCTTTCAATTATTTAGCAAATACGCCCAACACTAGTATTCTGACACACTTTTGCTCAAGACGAGGTATTACCATATGTCTCTGTTTTGAAGGAGATAATGCACATCTGGTTCTGTCATTTTACCCTCGCGAAAACATGCAGCATAGAAAACCCTTTCTACCATATCACAAAATGGGGATTGCAAGCAACATGGAAGGTTTTAAACATCTTAGTCCCAAACAATTAGATCTACAACAGAGGCATTGGCATGCAAGAGTCGTCTCGCTAGTTTTCCTGGAGGTCAGTTGTGTGCTCTGCGATGATTTGTACCCGATGAAGAAAGACTGACAGATATATCCCATGAGTCTGTGCTCTCCATCTCTGTTCTTCTCCTCATTTTCACATTGACAGCTGCTCCCCCTCAGAGGACTATACGTTTAGCAGCGAGGCTAATACAAAAACATGTAAACTCATTAACTTCGCTCTCAGAACCACTTTCTCCTGCTGCTGCTGTGCCACTCTCTGTTGGAGTGTATAAGTGTGAGTGAGTTTGTGTGTGGCCCTGTGACTGTGATTTATATATTAGCATTGGCTCTTATTAAAAGAGAAATGGCTTGTATGACCATCATTGACAGTCATTGTTCATTTGTGTGTAGCTTCTTAGTACATTTATGCATTTGGCAATCTTCTTAATCCAAAGCAACTTGCATTGCATTCAAGGTTTATTTTATTTCTTCATGCTTTCCCTGGGAATCCAAGCCATGGCCTTGGTGGTATTAATATAATGTTTTGTTTGAGCCACAAGAAAATTTTCTTTACAAGATTTTTATTTTTTCATTTTTTGGGCAAAATCCAATTAAACTAATGTTGTTGGCATCAAACACGGTTATAATTAAACGTAGATTTTATATTTAAACTTAAATGTTGTGAATATTATTTAGATTGTGAATATTTAGTGTAAAGCATTGTAGATAAACTATAAACAAATTATAAACTTTAAAGTCATTTTAATAAAATGAACCCCTGGGTTTTAACAATCTAGGCACAAAGTCTAAAGTGCATTGCACAAAAGCATTAAGGACTTGAAACCACTCTGAAACCACTTTTGCTTTTTTAAGGACAAAAAAAATGTATTGTGCCCTAGTGCATGGTCTAACAGGGCTGTGCTATTTCTCTGAAAATAACATGCATTAAACCAATCAAAATCTCATCTCCCATTCCATTTAAAAGTCAGTTGAATCATGCCATGGCACATTTGCTATTTACATGACTGATTTGTAAGTGGAAAAACTAAAATCTTCACTAGGGAGAAAAGGCGTCTTTACTTTATCTTTACTCTCACTCTTTGGACATCTATTAGCCTACATATTTATTTTTTCTTAAGCACAAATATTTGTTTTAAAACTATTTCCAAATCCAGTTACCAGCAAATTAATAAATGAACAATAATAATGAAGTGTGGTCAAAAAACATTGTAGGACTAGTTTACAGAAGGAGTAGTGTAGATTGTGCATTATTTAGGATTATATAGATTAAGACATGTTATTAAAGTTCTAATAAACAGTGTATATGTGTATACAAATAAGTAACATATAAATAATGAGAAATAGTCCCCATACTCAAGCGTCACTGATTATATCCTAAAACCTTAACTGCATAAAGCAATGAATCTGTAAAAAAATAAAATAATAATAACTGTTTTGGTTTTAATATAGATTATTTTTTTGATTGTTTCAGATAATCAAATTTGTACAGTGCACAAATTATCTTTTGCATTAAGATGCTGTTTAAATGTACTAATTTCACAGAACTATCAGAAATAAAAAGGCATATGAAGTTACTTTTGCTGTCAAACCTATTGACTATTGAATATCTGTTTTGTAGAATATTCTCTTTCAGGCACACATTTTTAAGAGAGTATTTCAATATGTCTTTTAACCCATCTATTAATATGCAAATTCTCAGAAATTGGATAATGGTCACAAACGGCAAGATGCCCATAAATTAAAAAATGTACACACTCAATTAAGTTTTTTTTTTTTTTTTTTTTTTTAAATAAGACATACATAAACTAATGAAAACCCATTATTTGTTACTACTTGTTATTATAACTTGTCATGTAACAACTCGGCAAATACATAACCAAAGGCCTAACCGATGGTTCAATCTCATTTCACAACCCCTTTGAGTAGGGGTGTCCAAACTCGGTCCTTGAGGGCTGGTGTCTTGCATAGTTTAGCTCCAACTTCCTTCAACACACCTCCCTGGAAGTTACTAGTTCACCTAGAGAGAGCTTGATTAGCTGGTTCAGGTGTGTTAAATTGGGATTGGAACTAAAATCTGCAGGACACCTGCCCTCCAGAACCAAGTTTGGATATCCCTGCCTTAAATTAATGTTTAAATCATTTTCACAGCAAATCCCAACAAATTAAGTGATCGCCAAGGAAATATGCCACGTGGTGAAAAGTGTGATTAGCAATTGTCTCTTTAATAAAATAATACAGTTCACTTGTAAATTAAGTATACATTTCCATTTTCCTACATCAAACCTGCATTTCCTGAGGCATATACATAGTTTATACCGTTGAAGTCAGCATTTTTAGCCCCCTTTGAATTTCTTTTTCAATATTTCCCAAATGATGTTTAACAGAGCAAGGAAATTTTCACAGTATGTCTGATTTTTTTCTTCAAGAGAAAGTCTTTATTTCAGCTTAAATAAAAGCAGTTTTTAACTTTATTTTTTTAAACCCGTTTTAAGGTCAAAATCATTACAGAACATCGTATCGTTATACAATAAATTTAATGATTTAATTGCGCTAACCTGCCTAGTTAAGCCAAATACTCTAGTTAAGCCTTTAAATGTCTCTTTAAGCTGTATGGAACTGTCTTGAAAATATCTAGTCTAATATTATTCACTGTCATCATGGCAAAGATAAAATATATCAGTTATTAGAAATGAGTTAAGACTATTATATTTAGAAATGTGTTGTAAAAATCTCTCCGCTTAACAGAAAATGGGGGAAAAAATAAATAGGGGGCTAATCATTTATGGGGCTAATAATGCTGACTGCACATGCACCAAACTATCAATACATACATGAAAGTTGAAGATGTGTGTAATATGCAATAGTCCCACTGACCTGTATGTTACCACAGAACTGGTAGAGGGAGTTATCAGCCGGGTTGAGATGGTTGATGTGTGTGGCCGGCTCTATGGCATTGGGTGATCTATCTTTATCTCTGGCCCTTTGGGATGGTGTTGTCATAGAGGTGGTGGTTTGTACTGGGGGCATTGGATGCCAGACGCTCACATCTGTCCCATTTCCAAACGCCTGGATTGCGTTACCTTTTATACAAAGACCAAAGATAGTATTTGTCATATACACTGCTAAAAAAAAAGAGATCCAGTGAACGATTAATGAATTAGGAGACAAACCCAGTTGGTTTGATCCAATTATCTGTTGTTCAAAACTCATGTTGATAGTCTGTTAGGTATTTGTTATAATATTTGCGTGAGATATGCGTTTTACTGTAATTCAATGCTTACACTAGAGCTGCTCAGTAAAAAAAAAAAGTTAAAATCGATAAAACCATTAATTACATGCAATCTTATTCCTAAATTACAACATGGAAAATCTATTACATTTTTGACAAGTATGACTACAGCAACCATTCAAATCTTGTTTGTGCTGCCACTGAGAAGTAATCCTCATGTATTAATAAAAAAGCAACAGCTTCTGTCTTCAACCACACAATGTTTTCATTTAAATTGTCACAGAAGTATCGAGATTTTTAATCATTTGATATTTGAGTGTTTTGATTTTGTTCTCTGTGTCATTTATAATCACATTGTGACTTGACACTTTAAAAGAAGATTGTATCAACTACATTGTTGCACCATATATTAACCATCCATTGAATGATCTATTCAAGTATTTAATTCCCAAATGCAGCTTTATCCAGTGATGAACCAAGTTCAGACCAGTATACTATATATAAACTGTATAAATATGTTATTAACTGTATGGACTTTTTTGTATATAGGTAAAGGTTAAAAAAAAAAATAAGCGTTTTTGGTTTTCTGCATGTTCATAAATGTTAGCAGCATCGGTCCTAGAGGGCCACAGAATTTAGCTGTAAATCTAATCAAACATACCTGCCAGTAGCTTTCCAGTGACTTTGAGACATTGATTAGCTTGTTTGCGTGTGCTTAATTAGGGACAGTGCAAAACTCTGCAGGAAAGTGGCCCTTCAGGACTTAAGTTGTACATCCCTGACATGGATAATAAACCTGAGAACATGCACAGCTTCTTCTCTATGCTGCATGTGGTTTCTATGTTTCTAAAGACAAGTGGTATACATGCATACAATATACATACATGAAATACTTTCATACATACTTTCAATGATTTTTTAAATTTTTCTATTTTTAATTTTATTTTTATAATCAGTGATATAATAGGGGCAACCATGTGTGGCATACAGATGGATGGGTTACAGCTAGGACAGTTATCTCTAACTATTAAACTTGAACTATTGACATTAGTCAAGCAGTGCTGTTTGCTTTGACTTCCTGTGTGTTTATTTGGAATTTGGGGCATATTTGCTTACTCACATGTGAATAACTGGAAATTACTTGTATTTGTCCAAAATCTCAGTCAGACCCTCCCTAATGTTCAATGTTCACTTTATTTATAAAGTATGTGTTAATACAATGAGCTGACCAGTGCTGTACAGAAACCATACCAAAAAAATAAATA